TCCCGAATATCGCCTCGGATTCACTTCTCCGCACGTCCTACCTTCCAGTAAGTGGTCGCTTTTCTGTTCAGAGAGTTGTTGCTACTCTCTTCTTCGATCTCCTGTTGAGTTCGTAGGTGTTCAGAATGGTTTGATCCCTATTCAGCTGAATTCCTGAGACGGGACGAAATCCAGGTCTCCTATTCCTCCGCCATCTTGCTCCCCTCTTGCCCAGATTTTGATGCCCTTTTCCTGTCATCCTATGGCACCCAGATTTCCTCTGCTTTGCACTTACTGTATTGTCTTAGACACAAGCTCTTTGAGGTATAGACTGAGTCTCAAAATCAACAAGTATTTGATAATAAGCTGAAGAAATGTTCTTTCCATTTATTTGCTCAGGTGGCCAAACCTTGTAAGTTTATCATCTCTGGAAACATCAAACTTAGCATGTTTATGTGCACGTGTAAAGACTGCTCCCCACTTGGCAGCCATGGTTTTAGGAGGCGATTTGAATGTGACCTTGATCTTGAACAAACGTGGAGAACAAATAGGTGCTGGTCAGTAGGTTCTGAGAGATGGAGTTCAGGTCCTGTGACACAAGGGCCAGCTACCACCTTGCTGTGTGAACTCGGGTACCGATTTTTTGGCCTCTTACCACAGGCGACTGGGCTGGATATTCCCATAGTTTGGTGTTCCGTGACTGTATTAAACTTTCCTAATAGTCGCAGGATGCAAAATGGATGGTTTGGATAATTCTTCTGTTTTTTTTTTTTTAAATATATATAGAGTTCAAGGATACCTATTTAATGAAAAGGTGGGAACAAGACTATCAGATATGGTAGACAGTTCTACTTAAAACACCATTTCCGTATTCACATTGAGTTCAGATGCATTTGATAAATTGTAGAATGATTCATTCTAATATCAAAGTGTGTTGGTGCAAAAAACAAAATCAAAAACAAAAAAACAACCCACTTTTCTTTTTTCTAGGCAAGGGAAGCCCAGAATAGCAGGAGTAGAGTTATAAGCTTTAGCAGGAAAGGGAAAAGCCCTCAGTAAACTACTGCACAGCAGAGCCTCTTCCAGCTAGAGTTTAAGAAGATAAGAAATGAGCAGAGGCACCAAAGGCTCTACCCGGAGAGGTGCACCCCCCCCACCTTGTACAGCTCTGGACCAGCTCTTGTTCACGGGGCTACACAGCCAGCAGGGCACACCCTTGGGGAAGAGCCTACGCTCTATCTGCATAGCCTGGACTTCTGAAGACAGCATTTCTAACCAAATGTGTGTGTGTGTGTGTGTGTGTGTGTGTGTGTTTAAACAACCCTTGCAAAACCTCCAGCCTCTAAGACTCCAGGCTGCCTCTCAGAGGAGCGATTCCTTTGCGTAGAAAGCATACATTTTGAGGGGTCGTCCCATAAGCCGATTTTCCCAAAAGAATTGCAGATGGGGAGGTTTTTCAGAAATGTCCATGTCTCCTTATGGCAGAAATAGCTGTACTTGAAATGTTTATGGTTTGGGGTCGTCTATTTTTTTACTCCTTAATGTGAAATTACTATGATTTTTATAAACGAGAAAAACCAAACTATATAAAAATGTGTTAGGTTAAAAAAGAAAAAGGAGGAAGAATGCAACCGTTCTCTCCATGTACTCAAGATGACCTAATTTTAAATCCTCCGAAAATGTAGTGTTACTTGTATTTCCACCTGCGGTGTCAATGAGCATCCATTCATGTCCCCTGCACTTGGATGTCGAGACTAAGACTCAGAGTGCCTTGAAGCAATAAAGAATGAAGGTGGAAACTTCCCTGATAGTTATCTCACCAAATGACTTCTCGCCCTTAAAGAATTGCATTGTTAAATAAGATTTTTTTTTCATTATTTTTCTCTGGAGACAATTAAGATGCCCCTTTTCTCATGAACTACGGTAATCTTCCAAAGGGTTGAGGAAGAAAGAGAGAGCCAGGCTGTGTAATGTTCTCCATGAAACATGATGTTGGTGTCATTGCATTCTTGTTCCTAAATAAACTTTCTAAAAATACAGTCAAATCATGCTGGCCTGCAGAAATATATTCACAGTATTGCAGTGAATAATTTGAAGGGATGGCTATTTCTCGAATGTTTTCTTTATATTAAATTTTTTATTGTATTAAATAGAGTATCTTTTTATTAAGAAAATCCAATAATCAGTACCTTGGAAATCCAGTTCTTTTCCTTCCTTCCTTCCTTCCTTCATTTATTTATTTATTTATTTATTTATTTATTTATTTATTTATTTATTTTTGTGTTCCATGTAAATGAGGTTGAATGTCACCGGAAGTCACTGGTAAATAGATTTCTGCTTCTTTGTTTTTGTTTTTTGCTCTTAAGCTTTGAGACTTTCACATGTATAGAAATAGAGAAACAGAACTTTTCTACTAGCTTTGTGCTCGGCTCTTTGCCCTTTTGATCCGACAGGACATGTTTGGGGAAGAAAATGTCCCCATGAAACCTACTAATTCTACCTGGGGACACATTCTGGTAATTGTCCTATTGTGATAGGATGGAGAATTCAATCCATCGCATGTAAATGCAACGCATGTAAATTAAATTATCTTTGGAATAAATGGCTCTAATCTTTTTTTCAAGTTCAATCTCATCAACTAGAATGAGTTTTGGTCAGCGAGGTATGAAGCCTCCTATTATTTCAGCTTTACTGAATGAATAGACAGATATTAGGCCTGGATCTACCATACTGATGAGGTGTGTAGAATGGAGAGTTTTCTTAAAAAAAAAAAATCTCTAAATGGGCCTTGCAATTCATAATAATAATAATTATATCCCTCATTTTTTTCCTGTACCTAGTTTGTGCTAGACAGGTGCTGAGCAATTACTGACTCTAATACAACTCAAGTGGGCAGGCATTTAATGTCACTGCTTCTCATACAAGCAATTAAAATGACATTCCACTAGATACAGTGGTCTGCAACTCACTGTTTCCCTAACAATACAATATATAAATGTTTCCTTTTTTCGTTGATGTGAATTTACCTTCCTCTGGTTTGCCGTTGCCAAGTATTTCCTAGTGTCTCAGTGTAAATAACTAGGTCCTCAGCAGTAGAGACTCAAGCTGCCTCTGGTTGGTTTGCGATGCTTGCAAACTATGTCCCACTGCATAAGCTTGTGCAGATCTGTGTATTTCTGGGCACATTTGTAAAACTGAGGTGGGTTATTTGATATTCAGACAACTCGGGGAAATCAAACATTGCAAGTAGTCACTTCTCCTGTTAATGTATAATAAAACTAAACCATGATTGCATTTAGACCGGGCTGAGATGAGAGGGGGCGGGGAGGGCTGCCTCACATCACACTCAAAGCTCTTCCAGATGTGTTGTCCCCGTGTACCTGTCCTTCTACTCAACCCCTACCCATCCTATGAGGCCACCTTCTCTCTGAAACTTCCCTTGTAAAGCCAATCCCGCCAGTGTGTCAGACAGGCCACAGACGACTCCCCAGGATGTGGGCCCAAGAGCCCCGGCTTCCCCTTCCCTCCCTCAGTATCTGGAACAGGGATCAGGCACTTGGAAGAGCAGACAGTGTTTTGTTCTGATGCTAGTGACAGAATACCCAATTCAAATCAGCTTGAACTGAAAAGAGATAATTGGCTCATATAATTGAGAAGTCCAGGGCTAGTTTCCAGGTTTAGGTGGGATCCAAGGTCACCCCCTTTCCTTGGCTGTCTTCCTCGGAATCAGTTCATTGACTGGCAGGCTCTCCCTTCGTTGTTCCAAGGCAGGCTCCTGTTCATCTCCTGTCCCCAGCAGCCCCACAAGGAAGCCCATTCATTCAATGCAACGTGTCCTATTTATTGTGCACCTACCACGTGCCGGGAAATATTCTCAACCTGGGGGAGAGAGCAGCGAACCACACAGGCAAAAACCCTTGGCTTACCTCTGTTGATTTTCTCTTCCACAAAAGTTCTAATAAATGTTCCCAGGGGTTGTGTCTTACTGGCCTGACTTGGGTCACCAACCACCCCTAGAATCAGTGGTGAGGTCAGCCCCCTGTAACTGGATGGATTGAGCTGGGCTGGGGGGAGGTTCTCCAGAGGAAAGTGGACACACTGTTGCCAGCAGGGGGAAGAACGGATGCTGCTAACTAAGCAAAAACAATAGCTGATCCCACGGCTAGGTGAGGAAATGCCCATTGATTTGCCCACCAGCTGCTCTGAGGTTCTGACTCCCAGCGCCCCAGTTCTCAGTCAAGTCTTTACCAGCCGCAGGGGCCCTGACATACTCCTTTCTTCCCTTTGATGCAGCTCCAGATGAAGATGAGCGAGCGGGCCGCCTCCCTGAGCACCATGGTGCCCCTGCCCCGTAGCGCCTACTGGCAGCATATCACACGACAGCACAGCGCTGGGCAGCTCTGCCACCTGCAAGGTAAGCATGGGGCCAGGTGCCCGGGCAGTGCCCCTGGCAGCCCTGTGGGGTGGGGGGAGCGCAGCCAGCCCGGCTGTCCCCTTGCCCCCAGGGCCAGGGCCCCCATCGAGGCTGCACTCCGGGGCATGTCCTCCATCACAGTGTCCTGGGGAAATAGTTTAACATGCAGATTCTTGGGCCCTCGGCTGCAGAGTTTCTCCATCTTAGGAAGTGGCTGAGCAAACCACCTTGATCAAACACCTGCACGGGGTGTGTGCAAGAAGGGTGGGGTCCACGCTGCGAGAAAACAGGCTAGTAGTGCACTTGGCACCAACAGCATCAGCATCACTTGGGAACTTGCTAGAAGGCAAATGTTCAGGCCCCTTCCGGGATCCTGAAAGTTCCAGGATCAGGCACTCTGGGGTCGGGGCCCAGCCATCTGTGTGTTCATCCAGCCCTCCAGGTGATCCTCACGAATGCCCAAGCTTAGGAACCATGTGCTGTTGGAAAGGGATGCCCTGGGGCAGGGTCCTGGGTTCTGGTTCTGCAGGGACTCTAAGCAAACCCTAGGAGGCCTGTCTTCCAGAAAAGTGGGCTCAGAAGCAGGATACAGAAGGGCCCGTGGTGGGGACAGCAGGAATAATTGGAAAAAGTTTTAAACATTTTCTTACCTTTTCAAACGCAGCTTTTATGGTTTACAGTATGCAAGAAGAGCTTGTGCATATGTAACTTATAAAAAACAAATAGGCCTCTGTGGGGGACCCCTGCTGAAGAACTTTGCATGATCAGCTGCAAGACACCAGAACTTTGATGGGCGTGCGCTAGACGGCACCTAGTTCATATGCAGTAATCTGTCAAATAAATGAATCTGAGAACAAATGAAGGGCCACAGAGAACAGTGGCCTCAGCCGTAAATAGCACTGACCGTTCGCTAGTCACTGAGCCCTTTCAGCCCTTCCTGGTGGCCATTTCTCCCCCAGAGAGCTTTTCCCGTTCTTTCTTCCTGGAAGCCTGGGCCTCTCCCCCATCGTAGGTCACTCTTTTTCCTCTCTAGGGCTTACCTCCCGACTCCAGGGTAATCCTCCCGGACTCCCGTATAACTGGCACGGGATCTTGGTTACGTGTGCTCCCAAGACGAGGGTGCTGACCCCCCTCTTCAGAGTCCTTACCCCAGTGCTCACATCGTGTTGAATTGTGTGGCTAGTGGACTCATCTTCCAGGAAGCGGTGAAGCCGAGGACAGCTGGGTCTTTTGTCCTCATCATTTTATGCCCCCGGTGCCTTGACACAGTGGCCATCCTGAGTATTTGTTGAACGAATGTGTACTGAGGGCACTTACATTCTAGTCTTTGTGACTGTAAGTTCTGCTCCCTCGCAGAGAGCATGGCACAGTGTGGATGCTCAGAAAATATATCCTGAGTGCCTGTATGAGTGACTGCACTCATAAATAACTGGTAAACAGGCTTACTTCCCAGGACATACCCACAGAGAGAGAGAGAGAGTTGGGTGAGATCAGGTTGTCCCAAAGACCATTTGTTCCCTAGCATGTTCAGAAATTTTTGCAATATTTGAATTACATTATCAGCATTTTTCTCATATGCATACCCCCTACACTATTATTCAATTTTACACGGTCTCGTCTCCATAAATAAATTCCTCTTTGTAAAGAAAATTGTATGCCACTGCCTTTATACTATTATAGCAACTGGCTATGTTTTGTTTTTTTTTTAAGATTTTATTTATTTGAGAGAGAGAGAGTGAGCATGAGGGGGGGAGGGTCAGAGGGAGAAGCAGACTCCCTGCTGAGCAGGGAGCCCGATGCGGGACTCGATCCCGGGACTCTAGGATCATGACCTGAGCCAAAGGCAGACGCTTAACCAACTGAGCCACCTAGGAGCCCAGCAACTGGCTATGTTTTTTAATATACAATAAGATAAATAGTAATTATTTTTATTTTTTTAATTTTTTTATTATATTATGTTAATCACCATACATTACATCATTAGTTTTTGATGCAGTGTTCCATGATCCATTGTTTGCGTATAACACCCAGTGCTCCACGCAGAACGTGCCCTCTTTAATACCCATCACCAGGCTGACACATCCCCCCACCCCCCTCCCCTCCAGAACCCTCAGTTTGTTTCTCAGAGTCCATAGTCTCTCATGGTTCGTCTCCCCCTCCGATTTCCCCCCCTTCAGATAAATAGTAATTACTGAAAGTTTAAAGAAGTATGAATAACATAAATTCACACAAAGCTATTAAATTGCTTTGTAACTTGACTTCCTACACTTACCAAGATGATCTTCACAAAGAAAGTATGTCATTTTAGATTCTGCATGTCGGGCCTGCAAAGCAAAGTTGGGAACAAAAGTGATGTAGGCTTCATAGGGAGGAAATTGATGAGTGACCTTAATTCCTGAGATACTGAGTGGTCATTTGAGAAGTCAGTTTACATCCAAGGTGATGTATGGTGGGATTTCCCTAGAATAGCGTGTTTGCAAAGATGCACTGACAGTGGGCTAACCTGAATACTTAGGATATGTTGCAGTTTTAGAATTACTGCAAAATCAGGTTCGAGTTTCTTGGTTTAGATTTTTCAAGTGATCACAGACATAGGAGTCCCGGAACAGTAATTTGAGGATAGTGATTTCTTAATTTCTAGTGAGATTAATGGCCACCATAATGAGAATGAATACCATAGATTTCCTGCAGAGCTGATGAATTCTCAAGCTTTGTATTGGTAATCTATAGGGTATTGAAGATGATTGTGTTTTAGGTTTTGAAGATGATCATTAAAGCTCCTCTTGGTTGCTCTTTGTCACATTATGATCTTCATTGAACATGAATTTCCATTTGAGTTCTTACAGTTTTTCCCTGTTTGGCACACTGATAATACTTGCTGAATACTCTAATATCTTAGAATATCTGTATGCATGAAAATGGCATGATCATTGTTTCAGAGTTATTATTATTTTTTGCTTTATGTTTTGGTACCAGTTATTCCAACAGATTATTTGCTTCTACATACTTTTGTTCCCTGTGTCAGTGAATGTGTTTTATCTTTATATTTAATTTGTACCAATGTTTACGGAGAGATTTCTTCACCTACATGTTCTGCGTTGATTTGTCTACATTTGTTTTATCTTGTGGATCGCTTTTGAGTCACCAGTATTCATTGAGATACAGGGCCAATATGTGGTCTATGTGTCGTATGGGACTCAATTTACCATTAATTTGTTACCTTACGAAAAAAAGTTCTCAGACTACCTAATTATCTTGTTTATCAGAGGTGGTCACTTACATGACAAACAGGATAAGTTTGTGTGTTGGTCTGCCTATGCTACCTGTCTTCCTCCTTCCCCTCCCCCCACCCCCAGAATAAAGTTGAAACTGGAGGAAAATGAATGCCATCGTTGCCTGTGTGTGCCATACATTGAGGTTACATGGCCCATGATGTCTTCTTGTTTTGATGGTGTTTGTGAGTTGTGACTCCTCTGGCCAGCTCATTTACCTGGGGGGTATTTCAGGATGACTTTTCCAGATGACAGATCTGGAAGCTAATCTTGGAAAACATATAGACCTTACAGGGACATTGGTCCATCTGGTTGGAGAACAGTTCAAGCCCTCTCCAAATTCAGTCCTACAGAGCCACCTGCTGGTTGGTTTTGGAATTATTCTCTTATTATTACTGTCGGTGGTGGGGAAGAGAAGCTGGCTTTGACACAGCTTGGTGTGTGAAGACTTATTTAATCCACCATCACTGCCTCTCCTGCCCCATTTCCAGTTTTCATATTGAAATGCCTTTTAGGATTGAGCATATACAAAATCAACACGTGAAAGAGGTTTATCACGAATCCTGGAGGAAATTCATGAAAGAGAAGCATTTATCAAGTTGAACACTGTATTCACAGGATTCTTTCAGGAATGCATCGCCTAAAATAACCACAGAGCGGTGGGTTCCCAAGTGTGTTCCGTGGAGTATTAGCCCCAGTAGATATGGCTCTTTCCCAAAACAGTACTGTAGTCCAGTAAGTTTGGGGGAAATGCTCCATGTTATGTTAAATTCGCCTTTTGGAGATTGAGAATGCCAATCACTGTTTTCAAGGTTTCGAGATGTCCTGCCATAAAGAATGTGTTTAATTTTGTTTAAACTAGAGCTCTGCAAATTTATTTGCACACGAAACCTGTTCTCTCCTTTTTTAATGTAAATAAACATGAACAGACCACTAGTGAAGTGCTAGATTTGTTCCTCACAAGGCAGACTAGACATACTGAATGAGTATCTTTTATGAAGATAGCCTTTCTTAAAGACCTGCTTGGGGGTGGTAGGAGACAGCAGGTGTGTCCCTCTTCAGTGGGGACCCTTCTTAAACTCTGTCACTTCCTTTCAAAGTTATCCTCTTAGGAATCTTTCTCTTACTCCAAAGGTGCTCCATTGCTTAATAGTTCCAGAATCCTTCTATTGGAATTGCCTTGGAAGACAGTGTCCCTTGTTTATAAACAAGAAGAAAATAGGTATCATTTATCGGATTTGACTTTAGATAATTTTAGGAAATCAGAGATTGGCACCAGATGTTTGTGTCACCATCTTCCTGGCATCCTTCACGTTGCCATATATGGTTCTCCTGGCAACACTTGGAGTCGGAAAGAGCAGGACTGTGTTCTCCATTTCCATGAAGGCAGAACCTGAGACCCTTGGAGGTCAAGTACTTGCTCAAGATCACATGGCTAGTGGGTGGAGGGACTAGCGTTAAAACTCCTTTCTTTTATCATATGTTCTTACCTGTGAGAAGAAATTCTGCCACCATGGCTGTCTCAAAGACACATACCATAGAAAGGAAACAGCTCTTCCAGAGGATTGGTTCCAGCTCATGCAATTTACATCTTTATTTTAACGACGGTAGATTCCTAGAAGCAAGAGGCTACTTCAGAGACATCAACACTGGTTTTTCAATATTAATTCTAACACAGTCACATATGTGGTGTGTGCATCAGTTAAGAGAGAATAGATTAAGATCTGAGCAAATATGAAAGGGTAACAAATAAATGAAAGTCTCAAGCTCTCGTGTCTATCAGGATCAGGGAAGATGTGCAAACAGTGCGACAGGGCACGGATGGGCGTGGTGGGGTCCCTGGTGGACCCCAGGAACCCTGGGGCAGAAGAAAGGTCAAGAGAACAGGGAAATAGACACCTTTATGGAAGTTTGAAGTTATTTAACTATTGACCATCAATTCCAAACGTTTTATGACCTGTGCAGGCCAGAGAAGTCTGGGCCGGGATGGGGTCTACGGGCTGGTCCCAGCTCATGACCTTTGTGTGACCTGCAAAAATGTGGGGCAGGTGATTCTATCCATTTCCTGGCTTTAAGCTAAAAATAGCACTGAAACCAAACCAGAAAGATTCTGTTAGCCAGCATGATGATTGAGGCTGCAGGTGCTTCCATTCTGATGTGACCCCAAGTGAATACTATCAGTCACTTTTCTCACATACTTTTACAATCTAAGGAGAGACAAATGAAAGTTCAGGAAGGGCTTTGTTCTTGACCGAAGATTTGGGTTTTGCATCCATACTGTTTGTATACTTCCTGTGGGAACTTTTATCAAACTGTAATGAAGATGTACGGGATATTTACCTGTAGTCCTCAAACTCATTAAGTAATCTCTACACCCAACACGGCGCTCAAGCCCACCCTCCTAACCATTTTGAACACAGATTCTATTTTCTTTCCACTGCACCCATACACATACCCGCACTGTGTAACACAGAGAAACAGTGTTAATGACTTTGAATACTCCTGCCAGCAGGTGGCAGTAAAACCTCTTGTTTGTATAAAATCAAGCGCTCTGTCTACGGGGATCGGCCAACCAGGGACTGCCGGCCAAAGGACGTCGGCTGTCTTGTTTTTGTGAACAAAGTCTTGCTGGAGCATCCATGCCCATTCGTCATGTAGTCATTGTGGTTGCTCTTATGCTGTGGGCAGTGGAGTTGAGTGGTTGCAGTGAGACCATATGGTCTGCAAAATCTAAAATATCTAGTATCTGACCCTTTATAGACGAAGTTTGCCAACCCCTGTCTTATCTCACAGAGACTGCTAACACGGGCCCTCTGTGTTGCCTTCCTGACTTCTTCACTTGTCTTGGTTTGGAGTCCAAGCCTGAAATAATAAAGCCTAAGGAGTCCTTACAACAAAATTTCCTAAGTATAAATATAATATTGGCATATTCTTTAATTATTTTTTTTTAAGATTTTACTTATTTATTTATTTGTCAGAGAGAGAACGCGAGCACAAGCAGGGAGGGAGAAGCAGGCTCCCCACTGAGCTGGGAGCCCGATGCGGGGCTCCATCCCAGGAGCCTGGGATCATGACCCGAGCCGAAGGCAGACGCCCAACCATCTGAGCCACCCAGGCGTCCCAGTGTTGCCTTATTTCTAGTCCGGTTTCCAAAGAGTGTCCTAGACAAAAGTTTTCATAGTCCTATGATTCCTTCTCATTTCCCTTCAATATCCTAAACAAGGAGTTGATGAAGATAAAAAATTAAGGAGGAAAGTAACCACTAGTAGTCTGATCATAGCTCAGTGCAAAGACCGCGTGCAAATGAGATGGTAATCATGTAGTCTCTGCTGACTCTTATTTGAGCACCCTCGGAACAAAATCTGATGTTGTATGTTACTTATTTCTCTGCTATAGAAACCTGTTGCTAGCTAATTTGATCGCGTGCTTTCTTAAAATATAACCGCCGGTTTTAAATTCTTTTCGGAAAAGATGTCGCCAGCCCTCTGAAGCTTCATCGGACAGAGACTTTTCCTGCCTACCGATCGGAGCACTGACAGGAGCTGCCGAGAATCGAGAATCGTTGTGTGACACACTTGTGATGTGTTGGCCGCCGCAGATCCACCAGGAGGCCACAGGAGGGGAGCCACGATGGAAAGGGGCGGGAAGTCCTGGCTAATTGTGTGGTCGTTGGGAAACTGCAATGCAATATTTGTCTTTTTCTTTCTTTTTTCTTTTTTAAAAAAAATCTTAGCATGATTGAAACATGCTCTATAGATACCGACTTTTTGTTCCCTCTTTTACAGCTGGACAGAAAGGAGTCGATGCCACAGAATGATTTTCTATTGTAGATACCATGTCCCTTGCACTTCTCTGAATCTATCCTTTTGTGGATTCTTGTGATTTTCCTTCTGAGTGTTTCAATTGTATGACAGTCAGTACTGATAATAAAATGGCTCTTCATTATTTGTTATTCATTGATACCGTATTCCTCAGTTGTTAATATCATGGTTCTGGTTACCTACGGGAAATTATTTTTTATTACGTTACCAATTAGTTAAATCAGTGCTTTGACTGGCTCTTACCTATTAGGTTAAGAAATAACTTCCAAGGACCCTTTAGTCTTCTCTTCAGGGTTACAGTTTTGCTCTCACACCATCTTCCTCCTACCCCCTACCTTCCTTTTTTCTTAAAGCCTTTGTTTTGTTTGGAGTCCCTTCGTAAAACATTTTAAAATAAAAGAACATTCTTCACCCCTGTGTTCTTTGGATTCTGGCGATCTGGTTTTCTCTTCTATCTTCGGTATTTATGAAGGTATGTGACTGTCTTCCTTAGGAGCCATGAGCGGTCTGGCATTGCCCTTGATGTTAGTGCGACGACCATTTATACATTCGCCCACTTACTCATTCAGCTGGTCTGGACTGAGCATTTTCTAGTTCCGGACACTGTGCTCTATAGAACCCAGCGATAGAGGGCTAAAGAGACACAGGCCCTGTCACCTCAAGTGCAGAGGAGTATGACAGGGAAATAAAGTTGCAATTATAATACAGAGTGACATCTGCTAAATGGGTCCCCAGTGGCCATGTGCCTCTGAAGAGATGGTCAGTCTATGCCCCAGTCTTTCCGACTGGGATCTGCTGGATGGGAATTCCATCTTGGGAGGTCCCGAAGCTAGAATGGTTATGGCTGCATGGGAAGGAGGGATGGTGTGTGTCTTGGTCACTACCCTCTTGTCAGTAGTGTTCCCTGATACATATAGGGCATCTGGTTAAATTTGGTATATGATGATTTAAGTTTTTTAGTGTAAATATATCCCAAATATTGCATGAGGTATAAATATACTAAAAATTATTTATTGTATATCTCAGATTGAAATTTGATGGCATGCTCTGTATTTTTCTTTGCTAAATCTGGCTGTCCTATTTCCCAGGCTCTAGACCTGTGCCTTACACGTAGCTCATGCTTGAAAAATACGTGATAATTGAATGGGTAGATGAATAAACTCTTATCCTGGTGATAGAATTCTTCCCATAAGGGGAGGCAAGTTAATATTGATTGTGTACTTTCTCAGTGCCAGACACTGAGCTAGGCCCTTCTAAAATTACAATTTTCCCCAGAAAAATCTTTCCTGTATTTTCTAGGGAAAAAGTGAGTTTTACTCAGGGCCATAAAAAAGTTCATTTTCATTTGTGCTCCTTCCCAAAAATGCATAATTTCTCGAAATGGAGATTGACCAATGAAGCCCCAAAGGACCTGCTAAAATCCAGGTCTGCCTAGCGAAAATCCCCGTTGGGTCCGAGTTAGTTGGGGTTTCCAAGGACACTGCTGGTTAGGATGTGTTTGTCTTGGAGGTGGAAAAAAATTGGGGGGGAGGGGGAAGGAAGGTTGAATTCGGCTAAGAATTAGCGGATTAGGGACACAGACGTGACACAGTGCTAATGGCTTTGCTGGAATGCTTTGGTGTTCTCTGTGTTCTGTGTAGCTACTTTCCACACTATGTTAGTTCAACCTCCTTCTCCCAGGTGTATTCAGATTCATCTTTTAAAAATCTGGTTCGCCACAAACGTTTGACTATTTCTTCACCGTTTATTATCCTAATTCTAGCTGGCTCTTGTTTTTATTTCCTTTCTCTTCTAAAACTGTCTCATAAGAGGTTCTCCCTGGTTCCCGTGGCCTTAGCTGCCAACATGGGGGCTTATGTTGAAGAAGGAGATAAAGGAAATGGAATTAAAGAAATAATTATCATTTTAATGAAGTCAAAATTGCTGAAGCAAGTCTAAAGCTAATGAGCGTGTAAAGAAATGTCGCTGAATGTAGTAAACTACACGTCAGAACCTCCTTTAGGATTTTTTAAAAAAGAAACATTCGACCAAAAAAGAGTTAGAGTCCTACTTGGCTTCCTAATGGTTTTCATTTATTGTCAAGCACCATTCTAAGTGCTTTACCTGTATTACTTAATCTCCACAACGGGTCCACGAGGTAAGTATAATTCTTGGTTCCATTTTATAGATAGGGAAACTGGGCTTTAAGGAGCCTTAATAATCTAAATAATATGCCCAAGATCTCTTAGCTTTGTTGAAAGGTAAACGGTGACACATTAACGTTTTCAAGTTTATTTGAGCAATAGTCGTTTGAATTGGGCAGCGCCAAACCAAAGGTGGCTAGGGGTTGCTCTGGGGACAGGATCCCAGACAAGAGCCAGGGAGAGGCTTTTATAGAGAAGATGAGGAAGCAAAGCAAGGAAATTATTTGATTGACTCTAGTTTAAGTGGTTGCTTTATTTGAGAACTTCTCGTGATTGGTTGTGCTTGAGTTTCATTTTCTAGGATTCCCGTGCATTGACTTTGGCTTGTGTTTTGGTTGGCTTATGTAGGCTCTGGTGCCTTAGCTCCACCCCATCCTCGTTTAATTAACAGCGACTAAAGGGCAGACTCACATTTGAACCCAGGCAGTCTGATTCCCGAGCCTACTATACCAAGCCCTAACACGTGCTGCCTTAGAGGGCAGCACACTTTTCTTTTAACGGGTGAGAATCTAAATATTTTAGGCATATGGTCTCTGTTTCTGCTGTACTGCAAAAGCAACCATCGATAATACAGAAGCTGATAGGCATGGCTGTGTGCCAATAGAACTTTATTTACAAAAACAAGTGGCAGGCTGGATTCACCCACCCTGTAGTTGCCAACCCCTACTCTAAATTATAAGAACCTCAAATACTCCCTTTTATTAGTTTCAGGTTTGGGACCGAAATCATGAAAAATTTAAACACCTTAATCTTAGACCTTAAATAAAGGGAATAGGGATTAGAGATGATTTTTTCTTTGTCTTTTTCTAATCTGTAACCCAGGTGGTGACCATGTAATGTAAGAAAAGGGGGAGGTTTTCAAAGCCATGTGGATTTGTACATGATTCAGACTATATTCTAAAGCACCTGTGCCACCATTGGAAATGAGCTGAATCCGGAGGTTAAGCTACAGAAGTCTTCTTAGACATAGTTGTTGTTTCTGCTTTAATTATATACTAAGAAAAGCAACAATTTTTTTGGTGGGAGGTGGGGTGGGGGGATTGGTGAATAAAGTATATGTTCTATGTGTCCCCTTTGCATGCAGGGCCAGTGCTATAAAGATCTTTTACTCAGTTTGAGGCCGATTAATGTAGTAGTTATTAAAATGCTTTCATGGGTAAGACTATTTGGGTTTCCGAAAGTCATTCATTCATTTCCCAAGTATTTATTCAGTATCATCCCTGAGTGTGCCAGGCTGTGTGTGGGAGTTTCCAGGAACTGTGTGGGTCCACTTATATGTGGATTTTTTCCCATAAATACAGTACTGTAAATGTATTTTCTCATAATAATTTTCTTAACATTTTCTTTTCTCCAGCTGACTTTATTATAAGACTATAATATATAATACATACAACATGCAAAACATGTGTTAATCAACTGTGTTATTGGAAAGACCCCTAGTCAACAGTAGGCTGTTGGTAGTTAAGGTTAAGTTAAGGGGAATCAAGTTATTCTCAGGTTTTCAACTGAGCCAGATTCAGTGTGCCTTACCCTGGTGTTGCTCAAGGGTCATCTATGTTAACAAAATCTTCCCTCTAGTCCCAGAAAAAAACTACATCCATTCTCAGATTCCCATTAAGACAGCAATCTCAATACTTTCCATTCATGTTGAGGTTTTAAGTTCTTTGGGTTAAATATTGGAGGTAAGGCTGCCCATCTTCTGAAGAAAGTCAACAGTTGGCTGATTTCAGAGTAAGCCCATTGGCTCAATCTGTGATAATTCGATTCAGCCAAGGCAGGATCTTGTGCTAATCATTTACCTACAGCTGTGCTGAATAAGATGGAGCCACCCGCATTCTACTCTCTGAGCTTGTAGTTCTCAAATGTTGGCAAAAGATACTCATTCAGTGGATCTGGGTGGGGAGCCCATGATTCTACATTTCCAATCAGTGTCTCTAGGTAATTCTAGGGCAGGTGGTATAAAATCCCGTCTTAAACCTTGAGGAGATAGAAATGGTGAGATCTGGCCTCTAGAGGCAATCATCAAGGTGTTCTTTTTTTTTTTTTAACTCTTTTATTTATTTATTTGAGAGAGCGAGAATGAGAGAGAGAGAGAGCACATGAGAGGGAAGAGGGTCGGAGGGAGAAGCAGACTCCCCGCTGAGCAGGGAGCCTGATGTGGGACTCGATCCCGGGACTCCAGGATCATGACCTGAGCCGAAGGCAGTCGCTCAACCAACTGAGCCACCCAGGCGCCCCCATTAAGGTGTTCTTCACCAGGACATGGCCAGGAAGTCAGCAGGAAGAACTGGGATGCCAGGAGATGTGGGAATTTGCACACAGCGGTACAAGTGTGATCCTGCGTGTGGGCTACCCATGGGATGGGGAGATGTGTTGTGGCTGTGGCTCTGGAAGTGGGCTCCCACATGGCCTTTTCAGTGCCTCGGGGATATTTTCTTTGTTGCTATAACAACTAATAAGGAAACTCGGTTTGACCTTCTTTGTTTCTCTAAGATGTCTGAAGTGCAAGGTCTTCCCTCACTGTTCTTTTTTAATAGGAAACCGCCCCCCAAGAGCTACTTGTGAAAGCAAAGCACGGACTGGAGAAGATGAGCAGGGTGAGGAAGGGGCCAGAGTCCAGTTGCTATTGTTGATGACTCAGGGCTGAGCCACTAGCCAACCAGCCTCCCACCCCTCCTCCTGCGCCAGGCTTCTCCCAGCCTTACTGCAAGAGCAACTTGCTTTTCTTTGGCCTTTAGTACTGTTGCATTTACCTCTGCTGAAAAGCAGGAGCTGCTTGAGCGGACTGAAGAT